ATTGGAGCTCATTGTCTTCAATTGTAATTTCTGGAGAAAAAAAATCACAAATTCACATTGTGTGATAAGAAGTCAATATATTGTTTTATTTCTCTGTTATACTGTAAGATTGAATTATCAAGTTTGTCCAAAGGCTAGACACCAAGTAATTAATTGTATTCCCTTTCTCTGCCATCAAATCAAAATTGTATTTTGTTATTGTCAACTTGTATTTGTCAAAGCCATTTTTGTGCGTTTGATTTTGTGTGAGCATTCAGTCAGTACTGGCAATAGGTGGCAACACATTTGGTGTTGTCTGAGCATTTTTTCGATATATTGACCTGGGATCCAAATAATTTTGTTATTCTGACTTTCACCAATTACACAGAACCAATCAAAAGTAGAGAAAACGTTGGGCCAACATTTGGAGCATGGCAATACCCTCGGGTTGGCCTCATTAGCGTGCAGCCCGTTGGATCTGCTGGTGTGGAGATAATCCGCTGTTGTTTTCTTCTGTCTCACATGAAGTATATGCTAATGATGACACTGTTTTACAGAGATACAAGACACAACAAAGGGACTACATTCTGTTCTTTAGTTTATATAAATTAAATCCCCTTTAACATCTGAAACTCACATTTATTAGTCTTTGCACAATTCTAACAATATGTTGGCCGTCTTTCAGATTTCAAAAGCTTGGGGTTCGTAAGATTTATTTTTGAAGAATTTAAGTTTAGAATTTACACTTTAGAATACTGTTCCATTATTAATGAACATCTATACAGGAATAAATGAGTAACATAATATTAATATTCTAGTAACTGCTATTAAAGGTGCTATATGTATTTTTTAGCTGCCTCTTTTGGTGATGTTTCAGATTGCAAGAGTGCTTGTGCTCTTGTGCGTGCTCGAACACAAGAGCGATCACTCATGGTACACGCCCACACTGAGGCTTTCAACACCGGAGAAAGCATCACAAAACAGGCTGGAAAATCATGTAAACTCCCACGACAACGTTACAGTAATAGGCTACTTTTCTCAGATATATACTTGTACCATGATAACGTAACATTTGTGGTGTTATCTAGCAAAAGGAATTTCACTAACTACAAAAGATACACTTTGTGTATATTTCACAATGTCAACATAGGTGAATGTATAATATGATGACGAAAACGTAAAGATCATAAGAAGTAACATTACTGTACTGAACGTGTCTGTAAATGTGTATTATAAACAATATGATAGTAGTGGAATGAGTCACGTTAGACAGTAGATCTAGTACATACAATAAAAGTTACATCCTAAAGCACCTACTTTTTGTTATCCTGGAACGGTTTTGTATTCATTTCATATGTCATATATGTTGTAGTTTACCTTGCTATTTTCATTATAGTTTATCATTATTTATTTCAGCATATCTTAAAAATTGTAGTTTATCACAATAAAAATAGCGGAGGTCTCTCCATAATTCAAACGCTCTGAATGTTGACAACGATGTTGATCCGTGTTTTCGTACTAAGTCGATCCAATTCACGTTTGGCCTGACGAGCTTCAACAGATAAATTTTTGTTTTGTTTTTTATATTTATGTGGAGTTTGTGTTCGAGTGTGTGTTGTGCTGGAGGTAGGTCGTTTTCTTGGTGTTTTCAGACTCATTTCGTTCGCTGCAGGGCCGTCGCATAGACTGTATATAAAAGGAGAGAGGCTCGGGAGCGCGCATACGTCACATCCGATGGATTTCGCAGAAAATCCGACCCGGAGACTATGTGAATAGAAAAAGGAAAAAAAAAGAGATTCTTATTTATTAATTTTTTTTTTTTTTTTTTTACAAAAATAAACATACTGGACTCAGTACAAACTTTGATATATTAAAATCAAAGAAAACAAATTGCAACAGGCAGCAAAATCTCCATGATACATTCAGCAATATAACCCCATCCTTTTCCCCATAAGGTTCAATTAAGACTGTCTTATATAGCGTAGACTATATAGCCTTTTGGCATCAATACCAAAACTTTGTAGCCTAAATATATGACCTTTTAACTTCCAAAAATAAATTAAATAAACTCATTCAGCAACTTAAACAACATGAAAACACTTTAAGACATTTATCCATGCCTTCATCGCCAAACTTTAGGCTCACTTCCCTCTTAATAACCAGAGCCTCTTTCTCCATAGTAGAATATCTGACCTCACAGGGGAAAAATTTCCGACTTACATACTGCACCGGCCTTCGATTTTCACTGTCACCTTGCAGCAAGACAGCTCCTAGACCTACTCCTGATGCATCTGTTTGCACTGTGAAAGGAAGGTCAAAGTTGGGGCTCTGCAACACACTAGCCCCTGACACAAACAGCCCTTGAGATCTTGAAAGAATATTTCACACTCCAGTGTCCACAAAACCTTTTGGGGGCTACTCTTCTGAGTGAGGTCAGCGAACATAACTGCTTGGGCGGAAAAATTAGGAATGAAACGTCGGTAACAACCTACGAGACCCAAGAAGAACTTGTTGGAGGTGGGCAAGAACGCACTGCCTCCACTTTGTCCACTTGAGGTTTAATTACCCCACCCCCCAGCACATATCCCCAATAAGACACTTCAGGCTTTTCCAAATGACATTTAGAGGCGTTAACCCCAAGCCCAGCATCATGGATTCTGGAGAATACAGCTGACAAATACTCCAGATGGTCTTCCCATGATGAGCTGTAAACAACCACATCATCAATATAGGCTGCTGTAAAGTCCTCCATACCTCTCAGTACACAGTCCTGCAGGCCATGAAGGCCGAAAGGCATGACCCTAAAATGATATAGCCCATTTGCTATTTATTGGGTCAACCTGCAGCATCATCGCTGAGATGCTTTGCGTTCATCCTGGCTACTAGGTACACCAACACCTTTTACCATAAAAAGTGTCTGGCCCTATTGGGATGTGTGACCTTTATGCCTTCAATAAAAAGTATGTAAATGGCATGTTTTATACATAAGGGGCAGTGGACATGTTTTCTTTGCATAATTTCAATTTCAATTCCGAGTGCTTGGCCCTAAACAGCATCACATAGAATATGAATTTCACCAGAATTATCATTTCCACCTAGTTGGACATGTAGGGAGCAATGGCGTGTTTTTGCAATAGGGTTTTCTATAAATATTCAGATATGTAGATCTGTACATGCATGCATCTAACTATGAAGAACAGGAAATGTGAGCGTGCTCAGCAGCAGATCTGGGACCGCTAATGTTTAAGTGAAGATGTTGGCAGGTGATGTGTGAGCTCTGCATTTATATTTATTTTTTTCACCAGACCAGAATCAGAATGCTTCCAGGTGTCACAACACATTGTTAGTCAGACACAGGAAGTCTAGAAGCTCTATGGTGGCAGCAGGATTCCCTTCGAGGCACAATACTTTAGATGCTCATCAATCAAAGCTTGAGTCTGAAAAGCAGAGCCCAGGGTAAAGAAATATGTTAATGGAGAAAAAAAACTTTAAGTTTTTTTTTTAATGAAGATATCAGAAAAATAATGATTTTCATTTGCATCTTAAGCAGGAGAGCAAGTATGTTGATTTTGTACATGGACAATTGATTTTATGTGAGTTTGGCTTTGCAAGAATAAAAATCTGAATCTAAAGTTTAAATATGTTCAAGCACTTTTGACTTCATCCTGTAATCCTGTAAAATAGTGTGTAGGAAGATTAAGCTCGAAATAGCTCTTTCCAGCTGCTAGCTAACCTCTCTGCACTAATTTAAATAAATAACTAAATAAAAAAAACGTACTCAGTTACTAATGTAACCTCGGTTCTCTCTAGAAGAGGGAATGAGTACTGCGTAATATCTTGCGCTAGGGGAAACCCACTGTTCCACGAGATATTGAAGCCAAAATTTATCCTTAATTTTGAATTAAAAATTGAAATCTCTGAGGGATGATTCAAAGAGGCCAGCTGGGGAGATAGTCGCATAGAGAAACGCGGAGCACACCATCTCAGATAACGACAGCCATAGATGTCTCTCAGCATGTTCCGCTCAATGGCCTGTGCAACCGATTTCGCAGCGCAAGAGCCAGGTCTGTAGCACTCCTCAAATGTGGCACGCTGATAGCTTCTGGTAACTTCCTCATCCAGTTTTCGGAGAAGGTCGGCTTGGAAGGTCTGCGGTACCGCCATAGAGTGTAATGCCGTTGCAGCCTGACCAGGCTCGCCCAATCCTCACTGTCCAAGTCCAGGACAGAACAGCTGGCCTCCTCATCAATGGCAGAAGAGGCAGCGGAAGGCGTTCGTTGTCCGTCAGAGAGCAACTCGAGTGAAGCTGGTGAGACTGGCGGGTGAACTCTCGAAGGCTCGGGGGACCCTCTCTGCAGTTGCCGCAGGACAGCCAATAGGCACACAAGCCGTCTTGCCAATGTCTGCACACTGTCGCAACGCATTTTACATTAATTCAAAATTAAGGATAACTTTTGGCTTCAATATCTCGTGGAAAAGAGGTTTTGCCCTAGCGTAAGATATTACGCCGTACGAGAGAACCTCTCGTAAGAGAACTACAGTAAATAGAACATTGATCTTCTGATTCATGAATGTTCGACAGCTCTATCTACAAGAGCTAATTCTGCTTTCTCAGTTCTCAGCATTTTCTCATTTTAAATTAATTATATTTACATGTATTATTTAATATTTATTTTTTCATTATTTTAAAATATTATGCATTTTCACACATAAACAACATTTTTGCAACAATAGCTTATTTTAATTATACATGAAACCAAGACAATAAATTCACTTTTTGAAACACCAGGAAAATGTTGGCGTTTAAGACAAAACATTACCAAATCATTCTGTATGCTAATAATTTTACCTGCTAATGTAAGTAATAAGAGCCTAATTTGCATTATTAAAATTAATCTTCTCAGTTTATTTCCAAAGGTGCATCTTAAACGTTCAACTATTGCTTGTAGAGACTAAAATCATGAAGAGTAAAAGTTCTCACTTTTACTTAACTCTCTCTTTTCTTTTTTTTTCTATTCCAGATCTTCACCTGGATTAAGTCATTTCTTCTGGACTGGCAGCTTCACGTGGCCAATATTTAAAACAAGAACTTTTTACATCTTTTGGTGTTCTGAGAAACTGCAGAATCACCTCTCTCTAAACCATTTGCAGCCATCATTGGATATGCGGGGAATGAAGGAATATTCTGATGCATATGTCTGAAACAACAGAGCTTTTGCAGACCAACAGAAGAATAAATTAAAAAGTCTTCCAACCGTTCATTAGAGCCGAAATTGTGGGATCTCCACATTTTTATGGTAGAATACGGGACAATAAAGAAAATAATGAGCAGTGATTTAAGGGCTAAAGGGATATTTTTTATAACTTAGATGAGCACAAAGAGTAACACCCTTTTCTTATTTGTTCTGTGGCATTTAACTTTCTGTGTGTCAACATATTCTATAAAACAACATTATAAACAGTCACAGTATATTCAACCATCACAGTATATTCGACCAATATATGTGCTCACATTTATCAGCCATGACCTTCTCAAAGGCAAAGCATCATCAATATCTCAAACCAGCCTACTAAATTACTCTTTCACCACAAGAGGTTTTTATGGAATAATTGATCATTTATGGTAAGAATCATGCATAGATGATGTGAAGCGCTGGTGAACCATGCAATATGGATCTGTTCAACAGCTCAGATGAGTTCTTCCTCATCAATGCTACGGTCAGTCCCACAACCCTGGAGTCCTGGGACGACGCTACTCTCCTCGGCTTTCAGATCTCCATCTCTGCTATGCTAGCAATCGTCACTTTGGCCACTGCTCTGTCCAACGCTTTTGTGATCGCAACCATTTTCCTCACACGCAAGCTTCACACCCCTGCCAACTTCCTGATCGGCTCTCTCGCAGTGACTGACCTCCTGGTGTCCATTTTAGTCATGCCGATCAGCATTGTGTACACGGTCAGTAAGACCTGGACTCTGGGTCAGATCGTATGTGATATCTGGCTATCATCTGACATAACGTTCTGCACGGCGTCCATCTTGCACCTGTGCGTGATCGCGTTGGATCGATACTGGGCCATCACCGACGCCCTGGAATACTCGAAACGGCGCACCATGCGACGAGCGGCACTGATGATCGGGGTGGTGTGGGTGATCTCCGTCTCAATCTCCTTGCCTCCTCTATTCTGGCGGCAGGCTAAGGCACATGAGGAGCTCACAGAGTGCATGGTCAACACTGACCAGATCTCCTACACGCTTTATTCCACATTTGGCGCCTTTTACGTGCCCACGATCCTCTTGATGATTCTCTACGGGCGTATCTACGTGGCGGCTCGCTCCAGGATCTTTAAAACACCAGCGACCAGCGGAAAACGATTCACCGCAGCTCAGCTCATCCAGAACTCAGCGGGCTCTTCGCTTTGCTCGCTGAATTCCACCTCAAATCAGGAGGGACATCTTCATCCTGGAGGAGGGGGGGGAGGGGGAGGCGGAGGAGGAGGGGGGTCTCCTCTTTTCACAAACAGTGTGAAAGTGAAGCTGGCTGACAGCGTACTGGAAAGAAAGCGTCTTTGTGCCGCTCGGGAGAAGAAGGCAACCAAAACTCTTGGGATTATCCTGGGTGCGTTTATAGTCTGCTGGCTCCCGTTCTTCGTGTTTACGCTGGTGATGGGAGTCTGTAAAGACTGCTGGTTTGAACCTGTGCTCTTTGATGTGTTCACCTGGCTAGGGTACCTCAACTCGCTCATCAATCCAGTCATCTACACTGTCTTCAATGATGACTTCAAGCAAGCCTTCCACAAACTCATTAAGTTTAAAAGATGCTATTGATGTTACACTCCTCTCCTGTTTTGACACATTCATGACTTAATTAGAGGATTTCTGCTGAAAATACCTGAATCCTGTGAACTTTCATTGTTCATATGAAGAGTTCAGATGCAAAAGCCTCTAAATGCCATTTGAAATTTTCTTCTTTAATGATGATTTTTATCAAACTTGTATATGTAAGTTCAGTAATTTCACTTAAATAACAATTAATAGGTAATTATCATTGCCATTTAAGTGAAATCACTGAACTTAAATGTACAAGCTTGATAAAAATGATCATTCTAGAAGAAAATTTCAAATGGCACTTAGAGGCTTTTGCATCTGAACTCTTCATATGCTGTTGAGGTCCCCTGCACTCAGAGCTCCTAAACGCGCATACAGTGTCCGGTCTATGTAGATTATTGTTCTCATGAGACAGCTTGTAAATATCTTGCCATATTGTTGATGCTTCCTCATAGTTTGAATGCATGCTAAGAATACAAATCCTTCACTAGAGAGCAACGTTCTACTGTCTCTGTAACCAATAACTGTTTATAAACTGCCTTATTTAACAGAAACAGAGTGAAATTGATATGAAAGACTATTTAAAAAGAATTCAAATAAATGGTGGTTGCTGTTCCCATAGGAACGCATACATGAGCTCCCTGAGGACTGTGCAGAAGTATATGAATATTAGCATAGACACTCTAAATAAAAATGTTCATTACATAAGTTTAAAAAGAAGCTTTAAGTTTTGTGGTTTTGTATTTTCGTCTGAAAGAAGTTTGTTTTCAGTTCTCCCCTTCCCTCCATTTTGATGTCAGAGTTTGAGGGATTTTATGATCATGAAGATAAAAAAACAGGCTTCAGGCTGCATGGCTCATTTCAGGACATGATGCTGCAAAAGAAAATCATGATCAAACGTTCAAATTCTGGATATACCTGATGTGTTTTGACACAAGGTGCAGCAAAATTGACACAAAAGGTATTTTTTATTGCTATTTTAACAATGTCCACATAAAAAAAAACACAAATCAAACCAAACAATAATAGAGATAATAATGATTATAAAAAAGGAGATACATATGCAGTATGATTATGATAACACAATGGAGGAAAACAATAAGGAACACACAAATATCCAATATACAGTACATCATATATGTACTTTATATATAACCAAATTAACAGGGGTATATACATGTATACTACAACTGTCCCATTATGGATACATGCTGGAATCTTCAGTTATCCCAAGAGACTTCAATGGTTCTTTCCACAGTTTGCCCATAAAAAATAATCCATTTTTTTTTCTAAAGATATACTATACTTCATCATAACTAGCCAATCCCTATGTAATAAAGGGCTACCTCAGACCCATATGTTTTTAAAGGCCTTCCTTGCCAACATCAGCAAAGGATGAACAATGTCTTTGGCTGAGTCCGAAATCGCATACTCTTTTAAGTAAGTAGTTATTTTGAATAAATAATTACTTCACGGCTGCTAACAAAAGGATGTTCCAGATATGAATGTGAATGTGAACGCACTACATTCGCCATGCTGTCATTATCAGAGCATCATTTATTTTATTTATATATTTAGTGTGAAGGTCCTTATCTCGTCAAATATCCCAATAATGCAACTTGTGGAAAGTGAAGCACCTCTGACTGCAGTGGTACATATGAATAATGGCATCCAGGAAATTGGCAAACTTTGCCCTCCATCACTCTGTCTTATGAAGAAGGTCGGCTGTGTTGGTTCAAAAGGTTTTTTGATAGGAAAACACGGCAATAAGAGACTTTAAACTTGAGTCAGACAGGAATAATGAGGCATATCCCTGGAACGTGCTGCCTGCAGGCTCTCAGACAGCATTTGAGAGTGCAGGGTAAAGCTGTGCTGGGCTATTTGGTTGAGATAAATTGTCTGTATTCACAGTCTGTATATCAAGAGATAGAGCTCCCTCTCCCTCTCCCTCATCCACACAACAAGGATTAGGTCACAGCCCATAAAATAGATCTTTAGGCTCATTATCATTCACTACCACCAGTAAATCCAAACAGGAATATTTGTTCGTTGTACATGAAGGCTGGTGTGATGTATCAGTGTGTGGCCCGTCTTGACATGGACTAGATTAGAAGACAAAAATTGATACACTATGATGTAGAGGAGGTAAAATCTGAGAACGACAGGGATTTTCCATTGACATCTTGTATTTATGACATTTTCTATTCTACACAACCTCTTAAAAGGATGCTTCACCCAAAATGAAAATGCTGATATATATCACACACATCACACCAGCCTTCATGTACAAACCTCACAGCAGAATACGTGGTGAAAGAATATTCCTGTTTGGATTTACTGGTGGTTGTGAACGATACTGAGCCTAAAGATCTATTTCATGGAGTGTGACCTATTTTTTATTGTCTGAACAGAGACATTATTTTTCACAAAATAACTTATTTTGTGTTTTGTGTGAGAAAGAACATCACGCATGGTTTAGAGCAACATGAGTGTGTAAATTATGACAAAATTAAAAATTTTGTGTGAACTATCCCTTAAATAAAAGGTAACACTTTAGAATAAGGTTCCTCTCTGTCCCAATTTGAGACACTCTCGCACTGTACTCCCTCTTTTAATGCACTTTAGACATAACACACACACACAAAAAAAATAAATAAATAAATAAAATAGGAGAAGATAGGGACTGAAGAGATGTGGGGGGGAGGTTATCTTATATTATCTTATATCATCTTTTATTTTAGACAGGGTTGACAATGGCAATTGTTACATAGGAGGAAGGATGGAAATAAAAATCGATAAAATACAATATTGGCAATATGGTGGTAGTGGGGAGTGGGGGTGGTGATGGTAATGACAATGGTAATAAATGGTTACTTTGTTTACGCATACATACACATACACATACCCACACTCACACCCACTCACATACACACTTAGATCAAACACTTAAATCACTCTTCTGGAATTATGGAATTACAAGATTGCTCACTACTACACTGCACACACACACACAAAAAAAACAATAAGTAACACAATATTAACAATATATAATTATTAACTTACAAGAAACTCTGATTAACAAACTAGTAATAGTGCACAGATGAAAGTGGTACTTCACTAACTAACCACTATTTTTTAATGCTTCCCAGAGAACTACTGAAAAATGTTATTAACAATCTAGTAAGTACTAAGAAGCACTGATAAACGAAGTAGTAAGTAATAGCACACAGATGAAAGTGGTACTTCATACTTCTGTGGGAATTATTAATTTTTTGGATCCTTATTCTAAAGTGAAGATCATAGGAACTAACTAGTAATGACTCAAGTGTTTACTCATAACTCACCATTATGGTGATTATTGTTTGCCTTAGTTGGCCTCTTGACCCTTAAACTATTAACATTAGATTATTTTGGCTGTTGTAATTGAGTTACAGGTTGCCAACTCTCTGAAATGGAAATAAGGAACATTCATAATGTACCATGACCGTCATAAATAATAAAGTCATTGAATTGAATTTAATATTTTCTTCAAATAGTTAAATAAATTGGAAAAATAGTTCAAACTGATTTTGCTGTGGTACCTAAATTGGTACTAAGAACCGTAATTTTTTTTTATTGTATCGGTACCGACTAGTGGAATTTTGTTTGACTAGGTTTCAAATTTTATACATGTCATGTTTTTTTTTGTTTGTTTTTTTTGTTTTTTTTAGGAAACTCAGTGGCAGTTTGGTCCAACTTGATAGCATAGAGTAGACCAAATGTGACCCTGGATCACAAAACTAGTCACAAGTCTCACGGGTATATTTGTGGTTACACCCAACAATACATCGTATAGGTCAAAATTATTGCTTTTTCTTTAATGCCAAAATTATTAGGAAATTAAGTAAAGATCATGTTCCATGAAGATATTTTGTAAGTTTCCAAGCGTAAATGTATAAAATATTTATTTTTGTGATTGAATGCAGCACAATCGCGAACATAAATGGACAACTTTTTAAGGCAATATTCTCAATGTTTAGATTTTTTGCACCCCCAGATTCCAGATTTTCTCTGCCAAATATTGTCCTATCCAAACAAACCATACATCGATGGAAGGCTTATTTATTCAGCTTTCAGATGAAGTGCACATCTCAAAAAAAAAAAAAAAAAAAAAAAAAATGGACCCATGTTACTGCTTTTGTGGTCCAGGGTCACAACTATGTAAATCTATCTGAATCCTTTTTTTGTTTGTTTGTTTGTTTGTTTTTTCTTCAGATAAAACCAAGATTCTATGTGCTGTGAAAAAAACTTTTCTATAATATGGATTTCTTTACGTTTATTTTTTTGAATCCTAATTCCATAATTTCAAATGTGAATTGCAAATGCTTGAATTTTGATGCTTCAATTCATATTTAATTGAATATCAGAAATTGAATTGAACTAGCATTTTCTATTCAGTTCTGTAATCTGCACACACATTTCTGTTATACCCCCAGCTAGTATTTCCTCAAAAATATGAATCCATTCTTGCTCCCTAATGTTCTCATGTTTGGAGTTTCACTCAATGCATTATTCATATTCAGTTAGTTGCTCCCAAAACAAATTCGCTAATTAATTAAGTCTTATAAATTAAGACACATGCGTTTTAAAAGAGTCTAAGTAAACAAAGCCTATTAAAAGCAGCAACAAAATGAGCTCATTGATTTGCAAAAAGATATTTAGCAGTGTGAGCAGATAAAAAAAAAAAAAAAAAACATGTGTAAGGCTCCTGTTTTTATTATTTTCTCTTTCAGCTGAAGCAGGGTGTCGTGACTCAATAAGGGAAAGGTAATCACATGTGACACAGAGATGCAATTAGCTCGATATCTCCTGATTTCTGCCTCAGGAAGTGTTTAAATCGACAGCATCGCTGAATCAATTTAAAACAAATGTAAATTGCAAACAGGCATTACAATTGAGGTGGGGGTTCAGGTGGAGAGATGGCCAGTGACCTCACTTTACAGGAAAATAAGCAAAATGCTTCAGATAATGTTAAGTTTGCAGTAAAACAAGATGGAGAGGGTCAGCATGCATTTAACCTTGCTGGGTGGTGTCTGTCTCTTCGCAC